TTGTGCACTATTAAATGATGATATTTTCTGTTGCGCACGGCGTTGCACTTCTCCTTTGCAGTCTGAAAGTCCCGTTTAAGCACAAATATGTGAATTGCCCGGAAATCGTAAAAGAATGCAGCTGACCCTTTTGAAACATAATAACCGCAGGACTCCAGATGAAACCCCAATTTCCTGTACTTATGTAGCAAAACGTGTTTAGGCAGGTGTAGATGTAAAAATGTATGGGAGCAAAACCAACCCTATTGTTCATGGTGGCAAACATGTATCCAAATACAATTGTTCATGGCTCATCTATAAGTCGCAGGTGAAATCTTTGGCAAAAAGATAGTGATTTGGCAAGTAGCAGGCATTTCTACGAACCCGTCGGGTATAATAGGCAGAATGCTTGCAAAAAGCTATATTGCCGCGAAGACACACCAATTGTCGCTGCTGACGCCCAACTTTGGTAACACTGAGGTCAACTGAAATTATCCGGACCACACTCGCGAGGTTCCGAAACACGTGGCGGATGGTTCGCCTTGCGGAACAAGCATTCGTGTATGGCTCGCCGAAGAAGGCCTGCTGCTCATCACGATTCTGTCACGAGGCTGCTGACTTGGCAGCGCTAATCTATCCTCAGCTTAGTGAGTTCCATTTCGATAAGGGCCCAGTGCAGAATTAGTCCGCCGTTAAACCTTTATTGCAGTAACGGTATGTTCGTTCAGAATGTACGCATTTGATTTTTTCACCAGGGAGTCCTATTAAAAATCTGTCCCAACGAAGTTTATGTTTTCTGTTATGTGTATTTTACGCCCATTTCATAGCTGACCCTATATTCTGATGTAAGGAAGCAGCACCAAAAAAACATTCTGTTATGTGATTGTATGTTCTTGTGAGACCATGCAGTAAAGAAAGGCGGATTTCAAGTAAAAAACAATGCTAGGTTCATAGCCCTCTATGGGTAGCAGACAAAATGACGCTTGGCATCAAAGTCTTCATGAGACCAGTGAACCGTTGACGTCAGAATGATGTTTAGGTTTGGGAAATTAGCGTCTGGGATTATGTTTGGCGGGCAAAAAGCATTTTCTATTTAAAAGGGTTTGACATCCCATTATCTAAAGTAAGCCATCATTTAAGAAACTTCTTTGAGGTCGCGGACATCAAATCGCCCCGCTGCATCCTCCATGCCGGCGCCATGAAGCAGTAATGCCAAAAAAGAGTCTTTGTGTGATAGTCATCTTTTACCTACGCTTTTTGTAGCATTCCAGCCAAAAACATTGGGGGCAAGCAAACACTGGGGTACCTAACTCATCATTGGGGGGAGGTCCAGGGCCCTCACAACAGAATACGAATCGACATCCGTGGAATCAACTATGATGACGCGCAAAGGAAATCAGCCTGCTATTGTTTCACATTTACTCAGAGTTTCTGTAAGTTCGTAAGCATTGGATCGAGGACCGATTAGCAGCCTCCCGATCTACACTACCGGCACCTTCCTGGCTGTCCCAGCACCCAGTTTCTAACCTTTATCTCATTCATCTCATCTGTGATACAGCCGTGGGATCTGACCACGTCTTGTTTTGATCCTGACAAAAGTGACGCCATTTGATGGCAATTTGCAGGTTTGGCAGGCGAGAAGGACAAAAACTTGGCATTACAGATTACGCAGAACCGTTTAGATTTTTCGAAAGTCAAAGATCTCAGCCTCTTTTTGTACCAGCTTTTGTTTTCGCAAGAAAGCGGTTGTCACTCTGGCAGCTGCAACTGTGACAGCCTTTTAGAAAGATCCCAGCGGTTGGACAGCTGGAATTCTAAAAGTGATCCTATTACTTTAAATTACAGTAGAGCATGCAAGATTCGAGTGCGGTTGATTGATACACCATTTATAAAGGACGATAACAGTCCCTGCCCTGTCAGGCGAGTGCTAACATGACCATTAACTAGCTCGCCATTAAGTTGCTCACCAAGTTTGGACATTGATCTTCTTTACATTTTGCGATTGTCTATTTCACCATTTAGTGGTTTGACATTTTAAGTGTTTCGCCTTTTCACGGTTTGTCATGTAGCAGATCGCTATTTTAGCGTCTCGCGTTTGCTACATGTCACCATGTTGCAGTCTGCCACTTAGCCGATTTGACTTTATGACGTGTTGACTTTTTTGCTCGTCACCAATGTAGCTATCGCTTTACAGCAGTCGACCGAAATTCATTCGCCAAACTGCGAGTCTACTTTTTGTCAAGACGTCAACCTAATAAGGTGCTTCGGTTTTCCTACTCCTACGAAGAAAAGGGACAAAGAAGGGACAGGACCATGCTCACACGGCTGGGCACCCAAGATACACGAGTTGCGTTTCGTAGTTGTGATATATTAATGACTGTTTTATTAGTGGCCATGGGGTGTGCTGAATCGTAATGCCTTATCGGGGGGGGGGACTGCCATGGGCATAAAGTACTGTTCGGTGAAGTTTCTCCCATCTACTTCCATTACAAAAGGGTGCCAAGGAATGGAAACGACGCATGTTGTGTAGTGGGTTCCAGAGTGGCAGCATTTTTGTATTGTTAATTAACTTGTTTGAAATCTTTGACCATGAGCACCCTTGGAAGCGCCAAATTTTTACGGTAGAGACATTGGATGGTTATCAACGTTGTTTAACCAGTTCTTCCGCAGCGGCAAATCGCTCATTAAACGGCGAGCAGTGGCTTTTCTTTAGCAAACGAATCACAAACGAGTCACAAACGAATTGATGTTGACTGTTTCCAGATCAGGTCAACGTACGGCACGATCGCAGTCACGGGGGAGCTGAGCTAGGGGTAGAGATAAGGAGCACGGGTGAAGGAATGCGGGTGTAGGCGTGCGGAGTTGAGAGCTGGAAACATGATGGTTATGCAGCGTTTGTCATTGCGCCTTAAGTGACGCCGCGGTGGTTTCAACTTCCAGATATGTGGAGAGTGTTGCCAGCGATGCGCAGAAAATGGGCGCTGTTTACTCTCCGTCGATTGAGAGATCTAACCGGTTTGGTGCGTGAAGTCTATGCGTCAGCCCGACACACAAGCGGAGAAGACAACTCTAACGGCTTCGTAATATTTGTACATATCGCCCTCACACCACACACAGGGCCCACCACACACATATTACACTCTAACTTGCTCCATTGCAGTCCGAGTGAACTGTGGTATATTAATGTGAGACAGGCATTCCCAAAAAACTCAGTGGCAGAACGTAGTTATTCGTATTCCGATGTGGGAGCCAATGCAATGGTTATCGGATTGGTCACCGCTATAATTTTTAGATGCATTATTACCTTAGGATCCATCTTTTTCTGAAACTTTCGAGGCATAAATTCATAACAGCAAAGGGACGCTGAAGCTCCGCAAAAGAAACCGGTCATGGTTGCATCAGCCCGTTTCTGTGCATGTATAAATACCTGGCGGTGCCTGGCGAAGTCTGGTACCTGGCGCGGGCCGCGAAGTGGCCTCATCGCTCTGTGCAACTGCTGGCACGTCGCGCTGTGTTGCATCCTTCACAGGAACCGCTCCATCACATCATGCACCGCCTCTCAGCTCTGGCTTTGGCGATTGTGCTAGTGTCCTACTGCCAGGCGGCAACACGTGTGGCACGTGCTGAAGCATCTTATCCATCGTCACTTGTTACCCACCCAGGTGAGACGGCCCTGGATGAATTCACCGTCGTTTTCAAAGCACTATTGAGCCAACCGGTGCTCTGCTGGCTTAGTGCCAACTTCGCATGCCGTATAAACGCCTGAGCGCGAGCCCGACATTGTGACACGCATGCACCGCATCTTATTGTTATTATTACTACCTTATCATTATATTAGATGTGCCGCATCGGCAGACGGCAGACTGAAGAAGGGGCACCCAGTGTTAATGCTTCAGCAATGTGGGAATTTGTGAGGGTTGACCAATGATTGCAGCTTTTGTGTCCACTTGGAGAGTGGCTCCCCCTGGCTTGCGCTCCAGCCCCTTCTTGATTTTGCTTTGCGCGCCCCCCCCCCCCCCCCGCCCCCTATGGAAGACTGAGGCTTTTGTTTGTTGGATTAAGCCATTGCAAACATGAAGGATGCGGAATAAACTTGACTAGTTACGGTTTATGGTGAAGAGGCCTTTTGTATGTAACACATGAAATAGCATATAATAAGTAATATATTCTGTTGGGCGCTGGAGCTGGCGAGCCTGAGCGTGCTGTGTGATGCTTGGCTGTTCAACGCCTTTCCGTCCCTTGCGTCCCGATGCATCTACGTAAGTCACCTGAGGATCTTCCCCAGTGACTTTTCAAGATGGTGCTGCGTCATTTTTGTGACTTCCTTCCACTGTCAGTGAATTTCCACATCGCAAGTGACTTCGGTGGGTGCCCTCGGGAGCTTCTTTTGATTTGTTTGAACAGAACACCACCAGTGCCCTTGAGCCCCAGTGCACCGAGCTACCTCCAACTCACAATCAAGTGATGTTCCCCGTACGTCGTTTCCTTTTTCACAGAACTTGGAACAGGATCTAGCATCAGTCCGAAATTCCCTCTCCCTGGCTTCGCTGATAAATATTAAACACAATTTCAGTTTGTTTAACGTTTCCATCCTTCTTTTTTGTTAGTGATATAAGTAACCAAACCGGAGCGTAGTATTGCGCAGTCCAACTCGCCCCTTCCCCTTGTTCCATTTTTGTTACGCTCCGTCAGCTCGCTGACTGACGGCCTCGATCGCACTGGTATTGCTGGTGATTGGTAATTGATTGTATTGCTGGTGAGTGGTGATTGGTACTTGATTGCTTTGCTGGTGAATGATGATTGGTAATTGATTGTATTGGTGCTGAGTGGTGCCTGGTAATTGATTGTATTGCTGGTGAGTGGTAATTGGCAATTGATTGTATTGCTGGCGAGTGGTGATTGGTAATTGGTTGTATTGTTGTTGCGTGATGATTGGTAACGGATTGTATTGCTGGTGAGTGGTGATTAGTAATTGATTGTATTGCTGGTGAGTGGTGATTGGTACTTGATTGCATTGCTGGTGAGTGGTGATTGGTAACTGATTGTATTGGTGCTGTGTGGTGATTGGTAATTGATTGTATTACTGGTGAGTGGTAACTGGTAATGCCAGTGAGAGCGGGTTCGCACTGTCCTGCACAGGCGGTGCACATCACGGCGACTATGAAACCACGAGCTGACAATCTATTCCCGGCCCAGGACACGAAGACGAGTGCTACCTTGAAGACTTCCAGAGCTACTTGCAAGTTGGGGCCACGAAGTACTTAAGACAGTGCGCGGTATTTAGATGTCGCATGGTGAATGACGAACTTTCTTTAACATACCAGACGTAAGTATGTTGTGGTTCTCTGCAATGTTGTATAGACCCGCCACAAATCTGTAACGAACGGTCATTTTGAGCCAAATTTTACCAGAGTCTGCCTGTCTCTGAGGTCGTCTGCTACCTCTGCAGCGGCAGTGCGTTGCCACGCACCAGCATGATGGGAACAACCGAGCACAGCATGAACACAGTTCAAAACAGAGAACGAGGCGAAACGGAGGACAGAGCAGGACAGAGACCCGGTGGGAGTGCGGAGCAGGACAAAGGAGAGCGCAAGGGGAAGGATAGTGCATGCCAGCCGGCAGGGTAGGGCAGGAGCAGATTGTTTCATTCAGAGGAGAGGTCAGAGTATAGAGGTCACACACAGAGAGCAGAGAAAAGGAGGCGGAGGAAGGAGATCAGAACATGCACGATAGGTAAAGCCAAGAGACAGATCAGAGGACAGGAAAGTCCAGTGCCATTCCAACTGTGCTCTGTCCTTCGCTGGTCCGTCCGCCACGCCGCGCCTACAGAGATCACCCCGCGCCGTGCCGTGCCGTGCAGTGTCGTTGGGCCTGCGCCTCACGTACACAACGCATAAACATGCAAGTGATGAGAGCGCATGGGCACCCTTGTGATTTGGGAGCCCGGGCACCAACAGTTTCAACATTTAAGCATCGGAGCTACACGGTGCTTGCAAAGAGCAGTCCAAAAGTTTTTAATGTTTGTTTAGACCCTAACGACAATTTTTGGGGGGCTTCACACCACAAGGGCACGATGGAAGTGGAATGCAAACCATATGTTGTGTAGAAGGAATGGATCGAAGGAGTTCATACAGCATATCTTTGCGATGAGTGGGTGACACGCGGCGTCTTTTGTATTTCAGATGCGGCAGGGTGGCCCCCAAACCCGACACCTCATGCACCGATGTCCCGGTCAGCCGTTTCGCCGTGTACCCGGAATGTTGCCTAAAGAGATATAATTGCGAGGTGCTGGGGTAAGCCCTGCCAATGAGACTGTGCTGTGTCATAGACTAACCACCATAGCTTCGCAACGGCAGGTGGCTCCCATAGGCATGTCGAAGCGACTGTGCTCTTCGGGGCGCGGGCATGCACGCCACATTTTCGGAAGGCTCATCGTGTGATGACCAGTGTTTGCGAGCATGAAGGTAGGATAGTACGACTATACACATCTGGCGCTAACAAAAATACATTGAAAACGCCCTGACTAGTATTTTTGAGCCGTGAGAGGAGATGCAGCGACACAACGTTCATCTCATAACTTTCATTTTACCATACATTCAGACCCCTATACTCATCCAAAGCTTTAACTCACCAATAACCCCAACTTTATGTCTCTCCCTGGCAGTATTCCCATCCAAACGTCTGCACAAATCCCAACGAGCGGCGCCTGTGCAAGGCAACGTCTGTAACTGGGTGTCAAAGCAGCTATAATCCCATCGAACGCAGATTCAGAATGTCGCCTTGTGAGTGGGAGGTCAAATTCCGAAAATAAGCAGACGAGTTTCAAAAACTCAGCGGGTATAGCTTCTTGTTACTCCACATTGCAAGACATGGTCCAACACGAACTTCCTTTTGATAAACAGACTTAGATATTACTTTGGAAGTCAAGAGATGGAGCCTTTCTCCCCGGCTTTGGTCCTCGGACCACATCCAAATAACTTTAAAATGAGCAAAGGTATGTTACGCCAACTTGACCACATCTGCTCACAGTCAAGCCAGACCAACCACAACTGGCTGCATTCATCTGAGCAGACCACGCCAAATGTTAAGTCACTCTGACAATTGCTGAGAACATTCGTCTCAACTAGCCACGTCTCAGCACAGCTATAACAGACCGGACTCAGCTGACCACAGATGCCGACAGCCTGGTCAGGCTGACCACAGACGCCGACAGCCCGGTCAGGCTGACCACAGACGCCGACGGTCTAGTCAGAATGACTGCAGATCCGGCGGTCTGATAAGACTGATCGCAGGCGGCAGTCTGGTCAGACTGACCACAGGTGACAGTCTGGTCAGACGGGCCGCAAATAGTCAAAATGACCTAAACTAACCACTTCTGACCACACAAACGGCAGGCTATCGGGAGATGACTACAATCCCGGCAGAATACTACCATATGACCAAGGCCGCGTCGAAGCGACGGCACTGAGCTTCATTCACCTAGACGCAAATGTTAAACGTCAGTGCATATTGTACCGTTTGTTCGTGCAGCGTTATAAACGGCGAGCGCTGAACAGACGACAGAACGGTGCAGCGTGCCATAGCCGTAGCATGATAGCTCGCACTGGAACAGAATGGCAGCGAAGCCTGAAGACATGAGACTTCCACTTCTGTGCACAAACCTCTAAGGATGGCGAAGTGACGCGTGGGCAGTGATCATTTTAGAAACAGTACTGGCTGGAGTGAAGGAGCTGAAGCTGTCACGTCATGGGCGGCTTTGAGTGCTCAGGCTTTCCAGGCGCCAGAATTCGGCGATAATCCTATGATGACGTGTGTGAGGGGATCTGTTGTCCGTGCGCGCGTTCCCCTGCCGCTGTTGTTCGTCTACACCATCGGCCGCTGCTGCGCTTTTTTTGTTGAGGTGTCTCTCTAATGTCGCTGCGGGGGCCTCCGTACACACCATCTCCTGAAGAACACGACTTATTTGAAGATCCCATGGTTCAATCTGCACGTGTGGACTCCGAAAAACACGACGCCAAGGCACACATGTGAGCCACACTGGAGGCCTCCACTGAATACCAACGAATCCGGGGCTACCGGTGAATTAAACTGGGAGCCTTACAGTAAATACTAATACTGGCAGCGTCCCGTCCTTGACTAATCCACACAAATTCGGTGTCTCGCCGCGTTTGCTCCAAGCATATCCATTTTCCGGCTCCCACCTCCCACCACTCATACCTGGTGCGCAAACGGGTTGGACCCCCTGCCGCCTTTCGTGTACCCTTCCCAGCGCCTTGGTATCATAATGGGCTCGCTCACGCGGGTCCCCATTGAGATTAAGAAGCATTTGATCATCCATTTCAAACACTCATTAAACGTCCATTTATGCCCTTTCTAGGGAATTTTCATACTTGAAGATACTGAAAGGGATGTTCCACATTTGTATGGCGCTTTGAACTGAAAAAGCCACCTTGAGGACCATTCCATGCAGTTCACGGTCATATCGTTTTTAAGACCTAAAGAGATCTTGTTCCTGAGTTACATGCCCCAGAAAATAGTGAAAAGGTTTATTTGGAGCCTATTTCACAGATGCCTCGGTATTAATGACGTCATAGAAACGTCATGCGATCGCAGTCATACTACAGGCTGTTTTCTGCTTATGGTCAAAACAGCATGGCTGCTGCTGCATTCGCAAAAACCGTGATGCAGCATGTATGATACAGTGTGCGGAAGATGATTGGCTGTTAGCAAGATTTCGCTGCTGAGTGCGAGGCGCAAACGTAAGCGTGAGCACTATCGGGTTGTGCGGCACTCGTCGCGAACGGGGCATTTTTCCTTATTTCTAGGCCACAGGTCAACGCTATGAAAAGAACGACACTGTCTGTAAAAAAGGACGGCACCCAAAAAACGGTCACTCTCCCGAAAGTTACAAAAAAGAAGACGCGACGGCCAATCTGTCTTGTTTTCCCTGCTGGCGTTTTTTCTTCCTCTTGAAGAGACCTCTTGAGCCGCATTACGGACCCCGTTGGGACTTTATTTTGGAGGGAGGTCAGGGTGAAATGCGGTGTTATGACTGAAAATCTGTGCGGAAATTGCGAGAAAACATGCAATTTGATAGTTGCGCGAGCTGTGCAAGTGTGAGACTACACCTATCTGACAAAAGTGTGTGAACCGGCGGCTTGAAATGTGTGTGATCACTGGTGGTGTGTGCCAGTGGCTTGTACTGATCTTGATGTGATGGGGAGTGTGCGTGCAAGGTTTATACCTCTGAGAGAGAACATTGTTTTGGTATTCTTTAAGTCTACTGACTCCCAATAAAATGTGATATATTGATACCTGCCTCTACCTTTGTGTTTGTGTTTGAACATGGCAAAGAAATTGAAAGAACTGACAAACTAAGAAAAGCGTAGCACTTATGCACTTATGTAGCAGGGGCGTACAAGGGCAAGCTGGTACTTCATTCTGATCTTGCCAACATTATGAGCCTATTGAGGTACTGTAGCATGTAATTAATTCATTGCGTGTCTTATCAGCAATTCATTTTGACAGAAGGGGCTGGTGCCCACAGCTTGCTAACGCACATGCTCAGCATAGGCTCACATTATTTGACTTTGAAAAATTGTCTTTCCCTAAAGAATTCTGAAAATATAGACCCGTATTATCACTGATGCACATTGTGCTGACTTCACAAATTTCGTATGCAGGTGAGCACTGCTCGTGAGTCATCAATATCATAGTCACTGCAACTTGCATGAGATGCTGGGTGCTGAGAAAGGTGGAAAAATATTGCTGTTGGTGTCTTGGGTAGCAATTTATCATACTTTTTATCATGAGCCTTGTGTGCACTGGCAGCTTTATCACTTCCTTGCATTTTGCCCATCCAACCATAACTACATGCACTTGTCATGCCTCCTTCATGATGGAATGTATTAAGAGAGCAGCATGGATTGCAGTACAAAAACCACATGGTTGTTCATTATGTCATGCCGCAGTACGGCACTGAGGTAGTGCACAATGAAGCTGTTGATCCGTGCGATTACACAATGTACCACATTGGTTGATTACTCTATGTCAAGCCTTTGAGACAGCAGTTTACAAGTTATGAATTACTGGCAACAACTGATTTAACAATGCCAAAGGACTATGAACAGCGAGAGTGTCATTTCACCACAATGTTTATATCAAGGTTAGCTACTAATTGCATAAATAATCCTAAGCAACAAAATATATTGGTAGCCCAACCTTACCATTTTTACCATTTCAGTAATGGCAATGTTTTGGCAACCAATCCATAACAACGTTACAAATTTGTTTATTTTCGCATGACACCCCGTTTCTAGTTATACAGTAACTACTGTGCACATCACATGATATCAATGTCCGGACAACAGCACCGCACGCAGCGATGAGTCGACAATAAAGCATTGGCAAAATCATCAACAGCATACCAGCAACAGCAGCAGCACAGCATATCGTGCCTTGATATTAACAATCAGACATGAAAGCTGGCGATCGCGATGTTGCGTATGTCAAACAGCCCACCAAAGCTTTTCTTACGGCCGGCACCAAGACAAAAAATCAACAAATAACCCACCCACTAAACCCTCACCCGACACAGACTTCGCGACGAGAATGGCCGCTTGGCGTCAACTTTTGTGTGTTTGGGCGTATTCTTGAAGTCTGGATGCCAGATGCTGCCAGGTATGGTTGTCGTCACAAAACCATTCCATGACGTCATCAAACAATGACGTAATGGAGCCCAGTTTTACAAACTTTGAAATTTTGCTACTTAGCGTCATTTTGAACCTTGAACGCTTACCCATAGCTCCAACTAAACTTTTCTCATCATGTCTGATGTGTGACCTTGAAAGTGTCTCCTTGAAATAGTCTGCACATCTTTGCGGGCTTGTAACTCAGAAACTAAAGGGATTTGGGTCTGAAGAAGGAAAGCGCTGTGAACTTCACCGAATGGTCTTCAAGGTGGCTATTTCGTTCCAAAACCCCATACAAATGTGGAACACTCCCTTAAAGTCCATCGGGTCACTTTGCTGTCAGTCGGAAATGGACGCGGCTACTGGGCTCACCCCAGCCGTGCCTAACCTGGACGACAACTCGTTCTCTCGCCTGACCTCCAGGATGACCGCTCCATACGGGACGATGGTACATCGGGTCTCGTCCACGACGGGGCGATCCACCGCTCTCTCGGCCGCGCCCGCCGCTCGCAGCTTCCCATTGCTGCGCATGCGCCTTAGGCAGTGCCTCGTCCAGCACGGATATGCGCCGAGCACTGCTCTGTGCTGCTATCGCCGTGAGGACACAGTGTGTTTTTTTTTTTACCTCCATTACTAAATATATCGTAAAACGATTAAAACGAACTGAGCACATTTACGATTGTTATCATGTCCACAGTGCACATACCTGTATCTTCTTAATACGCTCCACTATTATGGAAACAATTTACACTCCGCTGAACGGACACAGCTGCAAAGCGATTGTCTATCTTGTAACGTGTGTCCGGCTCGAGACGGTGGTGCATTTGAACAT